TGGATTGTATGAAAGGTGCTTGAATATAGTTCAAGTGTATATAATAACTTAGTATGGAACTAAGGTTAAGTTATGGGAAGTCTTTAAGGATGACCCATGGCAGTTTAATGATATGTCAATTCTAGGCATAGGGTTGCTTGAGAATTGGACCTTAATGCATGGTGATGTAGTAGAGCCGAGCTCTAGAATGCATGTAAGGTGTAGACTTGTAGTCTATGTATTGTATAGCTAGAGCCGAGCTCTAGGGCTTGCGTGGTGATGTAATAGAGCCGAGCTCTAGAACGCAAGGTAAGGAATTGACCCGAGTGACATGAATTGTATGGTGATGTAGTAGAGCCGAGCTCTAGAATACAATGTCATGTGTTAGGGTTGGACTCTATTGAGTATCGTGGCTTGTAGCCACGGGAAATGGGAATGGTGATTTCTAAATGAACCTGGGCCCACGGGCCGACTACTTGACTTTTACCTAAAGTAAGTATATTTTCAAATGGGTAACTTAGGGTTACAATCATAATATACTATCACCCTATTTGAGGGTCTTGTGCTTGAAATACTTGTTGTATATCTATTAGATGCCTGCCACACCAGTACTTTATAGCCGTATAGAGTACTGACCCCTTCGGGGGCGTCCCACCACCATTTCAGGTTGAGGCTAGAGCTTGCTTCCTGTGCTCGTTGCCCGAGTGATTTCCCCGGAGAGAAGACTTGGTTCGTGCTTCCTCCATTCAGTTTTAGAACATTAATAAACATGCTCATGGATATTTTACTTTAGAGCCTGCGTGCTCATGTTTGCCCTGTGTGGCCCTTTGTTTTAAACAATGTTTTCCGCTGCGTATTGAATTGCTTATTATGTATGTTTATGGATGACTTATGTGTGAATGATATTCATGACGCCTTGTATAATATGAATGTGTTGGACTGCGGTTGACTATTCGTATTGTACGGCGGGTTGTTGACGTGTCCGGGGAGGTCCGGGGCGTGACAATTAAGTTGGTATCAGAGCCTTAGTCCATAAGCTTCATAATGAAGTCTCAAAATTCTCTTTTTGAAAAGATTTTGAAAACCATGAGCATAGAAGTTTTGTACTTGGAGAGCTTTTGGTACTTGGGTCGCAAGGTCTCTAATTGTTAAGATGGTACCCTTAGCAATTGGTATGGCGGTGACTCGAGCCAAAATGTGTCTTAAGTACCTATCCGTCAATTGACATTTGATACGAGTCTAACGACTCTTTCCAAATTTCTTTCAGAAATGGACCGTGGTGGCAGGATTACTAGGAGGAACCCGACGGGCCGTGTACCAGTGGAGACTGGACAGGGCAGTCGAAGGACCTCTAGGGCATCTAGAGGAGCTGGCCGTGGAGGCCGATCACAGACCGTGAGTGACGGTCATGTTGACACAGAAAGTGAGACCTACTGGTCCTATGAGGACTCGACTTACCAACCGGAGACAGAGCCGGTTGAGACCCCTTATGAAGGGGATGATGACGATGTAAGTGATGAGGAGGGAAATGGCTCCTTAGCACGGATCGAAGCACTACTCCAACAATACCACCGGGAGCGTGAAGAGAGGAGGCAACGCCGAAGACGCCGAGTGGGGCAACCTTCGGGCATGGCTTCAAGAGGAGGGAGTCATGGTGCATCTAGAGTCCATGTGGAACCACATGGAGGCCAAAGTGATGGAGGTCCAACCATAAGGATCTCCAAATTTATCAAAGAAGCAAGAGATTTGGGGTGCAAACCCTTTGATGGAGCAGGGGACATTTCAGTCGCAGCACAATGGATCAAGAGGCTAAATGAAGCAGCCCTTGACATGCAAATCGCGCCGAATCTCAAACTGAGAATTGCGGTAAGATTGCTCGAGGGGATGGCATCCAAGTGGTGGGATGGAACCAAGAGCAAGTACGGTGAGACCGTCGTTTGGGAGGACTTCCAACGGGAGTTCTTTGCCCAATATTATTCTGATTTTGAAGTGAACAAGAAGGTGAGGGAATACACCCTCCTAACCCAAGGGGGTAACATGACAGTGAAGGAACTTGAGTACAAGTTCCGGGATCTCGCCGACTACATACCGGAGTATGCTTGTGACGAGAACCGAATGGTAAACCACTTTTGGGATGCTCTTGACTTGGAGATACGTGATAGGGCAACACAATTGCCTAATATGACCTTCGCCCAAGTGGTTGACCAAGCGTTGAAGGGGGAGAAACAGTGGGAGGAGAGGAAGAAGAGAGACGCCGAGGAGGCGAAAAAGAGAAAATGGGAGAGTCATGGCTCCCAAGGTTCCAACAAAAAGGGGAACCATGGAGGAGGATCTTTCCGGGCACCGCCGCCACCGTCTAGGGGGAACCAAGGCCCGAGTGGGCAAGGCTCGAGGTCACAAACCTCGGTGGTAACTCGTTGCAACAATTGCAAGAGGAACCACTCCGGTAAATGTCGCGACCCCCCTAGATGTTTTCAATGTGGGGATGCTGGGCATTTGAAGGCGCATTGCCCACAATTGGGTGGGGCAAGGACATCGGGACCGAGCAGTGGCCCGACGGGTACACGGAATCAAACCGGAGCTTCTCAAGCGAGCCGGGGACATGGGGGAGCGAGTACGAGCAACGCGCCATCTGTGAATCAAGGAAGAACTCAAGCTAGAGTTTATGCGATGACGGAGGCGGATGCTCGAGCTAACCCGGACTCGGTTGCAGGTATTGCCTCTTGCACAATTGTATTTTGTCCATATTTAACCCATAAATTGATGACATAAGTCATAGGGATTGAGTGCGAGTCATTACGGGGTCAAACGGCAAAATTCGGGCCAAAACTGACCAAAAACAGGGACGCACGATCGTGCGTCCAACCCCACGCACGATCGTGCGTAGGGGGCAGTGGTTCCGGGTGAATTTCGCGCAGGACGCACGACCGTGCGTGCCGGTACGCACGCCGTGCGTGGACGCACGATCGTGCGTGGCCGGGTACGCACGATCGTGCGTAACCGGCAGTGGTCGGGTTCGATGTTTCTTCACGCACGCACGACCGTGCGTGTCCCACGCACGACCGTGCGTGGACCCCAGCCGCCCGAAACACGAGTTTTTCATCCCGTTCTTCTACGATTGAACCCCCGTTTGATTCCGAACATTTGTATGAACCTATTAACCTCCTAAAAGGTGTCCTAAACCATTAGAAAAGGTATCTTACATGGTGTATAAATGTAGGAACATTAAAGATTAATGGGAAGGATGCACGAATCCTTATCGATACCGGAGCGCAACGTTCGTTCGTGAGTGAGGCGTTCGCCGAGGACTTAGGGGTACAATCAACACCAATGACGCACACATTAGTGGTATCAACACCACTAGGGGATGACGTTGAAAGAACTAGTTATTATCCATCTTGTGAGGTGGAAATTGATGGCCAAACCTTGACGTGTGATTTCGTACCGCTGAGTATGATGGAGTTCGATGCCATCCTAGGGATGGATTGGCTAGAAAAGCATCATGCTAGGGTAGATTACTACACAAAGGTGTTGGAACTCGAAGGCACACAGGGGGACACCCTACGCTTCGAGGGGGACCGCGGCAAATCAAATAGTTGTATCATATCCGCCGTGAGAGCGAGAAATATGATGAGGAAGGGATGCCACGCATATCTAGCATACGTGGTTGACAAAACCAAAGAGGAAACGAACGTCGATGATGTGAGGGTGGTTTGTAAGTATCCGGATGTCTTCCCTAAAGACCTACCGGGGCTTCCACCTGACAGAGAGATTGAATTTGTGATCGAGGTCGAGCCTGGTACCAAACCAATCTCCATACCGCCATACCGGATGGCACCCGCTGAACTTAACGAGTTGAAAACCCAATTGCAAGAGCTTTTGGATAACGGTTTCATTAGACCAAGCCACTCCCCGTGGGGAGCACCGGTTCTTTTTGTGAAAAAGAAAGATGGGACACTTCGAATGTGCATTGACTATCGTCAACTGAACAAGGTCACAATCAAGAATAGGTATCCGTTGCCTAGGATTGATGACTTGTTTGATCAACTACGAGGAGCAACCGTGTTTTCGAAGATTGACTTAAGGTCGGGGTACCATCAATTAAAGATTAAGGAAGATGACATACCAAAGAGTGCTTTCCGCACAAGGTATGGGCATTTTGAGTTCCTTGTTATGTCGTTTGGGTTAACAAACGCCCCGGCGGCATTCATGGACTTGATGAACCGAGTATTCCATAAATACTTGGATCGATTCGTGATTGTGTTCATAGATGACATCTTGATTTACTCAAAGAGTGAAGAAGAGCATGAGGAGCACTTGATACTTGTTCTTGAAACACTACGGGAGAAGCAACTCTATGCCAAATTTTCTAAATGTGAATTTTGGCTAAAGGAGATTGGCTTCCTCGGGCACGTGGTTTCGGGATCGGGGATTGCTGTTGATAACAAGAAGATAGAAGCCATTACTGAATGGGAGAGGCCAAAGAACGTCAAGGAAATTCGTAGTTTCCTTGGATTGGCAGGCTACTATAGAAAGTTCGTGGAGAAGTTCTCTGTTTTGGCATCGCCATTGACGAAGCTCACTCGTAAAGGAGCTAAGTTTGTATGGGATGACAAATGTGAGAAAGGGTTCATGGAACTAAAGAAGAGATTGACTGAGGCACCGGTACTTGCATTACCCAAACAAGGTGTGGGGTACGATGTCTATAGCGATGCGAGCATCCAAGGGCTCGGATGTGTACTGATGCAGAATGGGAGGGTAATCGCCTATGCTTCACGACAATTGAAGAAGCATGAGGTGAATTATCCTACTCATGATTTGGAGCTCGGGGCAGTGGTATTTGCACTGAAGATATGGAGACATTATCTCTACGGGGAGACATGTCACATATACACTGATCACAAGAGCTTGAAGTACGTGTTTACTCAGAAAGAGCTAAACATGAGACAGAGACGGTGGATGGAGCTGATAAAAGACTACCATCTAGTGATAGAGTATCACCCAGGCAAGGCAAACGTGGTGGCAGATGCTTTGAGCCGGAAGAGCTCGTCTGGGGCATTGATAACTAATTTGAGGGCATTAAGAGCCCAACTGGAGGTAACCAGCGATGGTGCCTTATTGGCACGATTTGAGGTGAGACCCACTTTACTTGATGAGATCAAGAAGGGTCAGGAAGCCGACGAAGAACTTATGAAGGTCCGGGAACGCATGCAAGCGGGGCCGGTGGAGGATTTCAGGGAAAGAGATGATGGTCTCTTGTTATTTCGTGACCGAGTGTGTGTACCGTCAGATGATGAGCTCCGAAAGTCCATCTTAGAGGAGGCTCATTCATCGGCTTATGCCATGCACCCGGGGGGCACGAAAATGTACCGTGATTTGAAGGAAAGTTACTGGTGGTCTGGAATGAAGAGGGAAATAGCCGAGTACATCAGTCGGTGCCTTACTTGTCAACAAGTTAAGGCAGAACATCAGCACCCAGCAGGCTTATTGCAACCACTTTCCATTCCTGAATGGAAGTGGGAACACGTGACTATGGATTTCGTGGTAGGTTTACCACGGACAATCAGGAACTATGATGCAGTTTGGGTCGTTGTGGATAGGCTCACAAAGAGTGCACACTTCTTGCCTATCAACACTACCTACCCACTTGAGAGGTTAGCCAAATTGTATACGGATGAGATCGTGAGGCTGCATGGGGTCCCAGTGACCATTGTATCCGATAGGGACCCACGATTCACATCACGTTTTTGGCCGAAATTTCAGGAGTCTATGGGAACAAGGTTGAAGTTCAGTACTGCTTTCCACCCACAGACGGATGGACAGTCTGAAAGAGTCATACAAATCTTGGAAGACATGTTGAGGGCTTGTGCATTGGAGTTCCAAGGAAGTTGGGACAACCACTTAGCACTTGTGGAGTTTGCTTATAACAACAGTTATCAGGCAAGCATCGGCATGCCTCCATACGAGGCATTGTATGGGAGGAGGTGTCGTACACCGTTATGCTGGGACGAGGTTGGCATGGCCAAACTCGAGGGTACTGAGTTGGTTGAGGTCACCAAATCAAAGGTGAAATTGATTCGAGAGAGACTCAAAGCGGCTCAGGATAGGCAAAAGAGTTATGCAGATAAGCGTCGAAGAACCTTAGAGTTTAAGGTTGATGACGAGGTATTCTTGAAAGTTTCTCCTTGGAAAGGAATCATTCGATTTCAAACCCGAGGGAAGCTTAACCCACGGTACATAGGTCCATTCAGAATTATAGAAAGGATTGGGGCCGTTGCATATCGTCTACAGTTGACTCCTGAGTTAGAGAAGATACATACAGTGTTTCACGTATCCATGCTTAAGAAGTATGTGCATGATCCCTCTCACGTATTGGAGAAGCCACCTGTAGAGGTACGTGAGGATTTGAACTACTCTGTTCAACCTATCAAGGTCACCGATAGAAAGGTGAAGAAACTAAGGAGCAAGGAAGTCCCAATGGTTAAAGTCTTGTGGAAGAGCGATCGGGTCGAAGAAGAGACATGGGAAACAGAGGCTTTGATGAGGAAGCAGTATGCTTTCCTATTCGAGTAGAGCTGTGAATTTCGGGGACGAAATTCCTGTTAAGGGGGGGTGAACTTGTGACACCGCACCCGAATTTCCTTGGAAATTTGATTTGAATATTCATAGCTTATGTATTGGATTTCCGATTCCCAAACATTTTGTAAAACGATCAATGTTCTACGTAGTGCATGGTTGAATATCGTACTGTTCAAACTCGTACATTAGTGTCGGGTTTCGCAAATACTTACTCGGGACTTATTAATAAATAAAAAAAGCCCAACATTACCTAAATAGTGAAAGAATGATTAAAGGAGAATACAAATGTCTATAACCCCATCTTTGGCATTATTGAGCTAAATAATGGGAGTAGGATTTTCCTTCTAAAATATCCATCAAGTAAATTATTGGGATGAGCCTACACATATTGGAGATCAATAATGTGATTTAGGAAGTTGACTTGTTCTAAATAAATTAGGATGAGTGCAAAAAGACATCTTTGACAAAGATAAAACAATAGGACCCATCTTCCCATTTTTGGAAGTATTGGTAGATATTTTGGACCCCAAATTTAATGGGATCAATTGGGAACCACTCCACATGATATTAGTACCTGCAAAACAAATAAAAATGGGTTAGAAGACCTACCTTGGCCGGCCATAATGGAGGGGAGCTGCACATGACTTGATAGGAATCAAAGCTTGGGCCACCATCCTTATTTTCGCACAAATTGGTGTGTTGTTTGTCTCCTCTCATTATAGAAGCTATACTCGACCAAACAACGTGAATAATATGTCCTTGGATAGCCTTTGAAGTCTATTATCTCAATTGAGTGGTCTTTATTCGAGGAGAGAAGGCTTATCTTACAAAAATCGAGCTGGAACGAGCAGAGGTCTGTGAACTCGAGCTGTGAGAGTGCTGAGACTGTTTGGTCGATATCTCGAGTTTTACAAATCCAATTAAGGCGTGTGAGATACCCACAGAAAGCTCTCAAGACGAGGAATCCGTGAAGGTCTGGTTTGCAGGAATCGGAGTTGTGGAAGGCTTTCAAATCGTCCGAGAAAAACGCAACCTCGCAGGAGAGGATTTAATCTTCTAAAGTGAGTTTTAACCCCAAAGCTTTACTTTTCATTCTCCAAATGATATGAACGATTGGTGAGACTATTATACACTAATCCAAGTGTATAATATGTCCTTATAAAGTTATTTTATTGATGTAAAGGTTAGATACTAACCTAGATGCAAATATTGGAAAACTAGGAATCGAGTTAGCCGGAAAACACCCGTTCTAGGGGCTGTTTTCGTATCAACGATTAAGGGTTGAACTAGCACTTTAAGGAGGCTGTTTAACACTCATATTTGAGCAAGGAATCAGTCCCAAATCCACCTTGACCAAAGATTTGACCGTTGGACCAAGAAGGGAAAGTTTAAAGCTCAATTGAGGTGAGGATTGACATCTAATTGCTTACAACTTGTAGGTTAAGCATGAGATTACCTAAATGCTTAAATCATTATTTTTCATGGATTATGATGATCATATATTGATGAAATATTGATATAGTTGCCAAAGAATGAAATTTGAAATGATTTGAGAATGTATGAATAACATGAGATTTAATGAGTATAAATGAACTGTTTTTGCGAAATAGGTATTTTGCTCATGTATGAAGTATTTGGATACATAAATGAATATTTGTGTATTGAGATTGAATACTTAAGTTGCTGCTACATATTTGTAATTATGTAGAGAATTACAAATAAAGAGGATAGTGGTATGATAACAATAATCTTAATAGTATTGAAATACTAGTTAGTGATTATTGGAACTTGTTGATTAAATTGATCCTAGGGATTGGATTGTATGAAAGGTGCTTGAATATAGTTCAAGTGTATATAATAACTTAGTATGGAACTAAGGTTAAGTTATGGGAAGTCTTTAAGGATGACCCATGGCAGTTTAATGATATGTCAATTCTAGGCATAGGGTTGCTTGAGAATTGGACCTTAATGCATGGTGATGTAGTAGAGCCGAGCTCTAGAATGCATGTAAGGTGTAGACTTGTAGTCTATGTATTGTATAGCTAGAGCCGAGCTCTAGGGCTTGCGTGGTGATGTAATAGAGCCGAGCTCTAGAACGCAAGGTAAGGAATTGACCCGAGTGACATGAATTGTATGGTGATGTAGTAGAGCCGAGCTCTAGAATACAATGTCATGTGTTAGGGTTGGACTCTATTGAGTATCGTGGCTTGTAGCCACGGGAAATGGGAATGGTGATTTCTAAATGAACCTGGGCCCACGGGCCGACTACTTGACTTTTACCTAAAGTAAGTATATTTTCAAATGGGTAACTTAGGGTTACAATCATAATATACTATCACCCTATTTGAGGGTCTTGTGCTTGAAATACTTGTTGTATATCTATTAGATGCCTGCCACACCAGTACTTTATAGCCGTATAGAGTACTGACCCCTTCGGGGGCGTCCCACCACCATTTCAGGTTGAGGCTAGAGCTTGCTTCCTGTGCTCGTTGCCCGAGTGATTTCCCCGGAGAGAAGACTTGGTTCGTGCTTCCTCCATTCAGTTTTAGAACATTAATAAACATGCTCATGGATATTTTACTTTAGAGCCTGCGTGCTCATGTTTGCCCTGTGTGGCCCTTTGTTTTAAACAATGTTTTCCGCTGCGTATTGAATTGCTTATTATGTATGTTTATGGATGACTTATGTGTGAATGATATTCATGACGCCTTGTATAATATGAATGTGTTGGACTGCGGTTGACTATTCGTATTGTACGGCGGGTTGTTGACGTGTCCGGGGAGGTCCGGGGCGTGACACCTCATGGCAGAAAAAGATCACTGGATGGATGATTCTGATGAAGAAGAGAATATGGCCTTGATGGCAGTTGTTGAAGAAGAAGAGAAAGAGAAGGATGCTGATGAGAAAGGAAAGATGAAGTCAACCTCTGCTGAGGAAAAGAAGGAGAAAGACAAAGCTGAGGAGAAGAAGAACCTGCCTACCCCAACCAATGCTGATGAAATGACTGCCCTGACTGCTGAAAACAGAAATGCTGACAATGAAGTAAGTACCTCTAATCCATGTATTCATAACTACTCTAGAACAGATATGCATGATAAATTTAAGGAGCTAGAGGTGAATTACAAAAGGTTGTATGAGGTATATAATCAACTGCGTGAAAAACAGACATGCTCAAACATTAAGATAATCAATTCAGAGAAAACAATCACTAAGCTCACAACTGAGAATAAGCGACTTAGTGCTAGTGAGAAAGAGCTGACAGAGAAGCTTAGAACAACTGAAAAAGAAAGAATTAGACTTTTTGGTGTCAATAACTTGCTGGTGGAAAGAAGGGGTGCCCTTTATACTAAGATCAAAGAACTTGAGGATCTGTTAGCCAAAAGGGACCAAACAGATCAGACTATTTTTCTTAACCAGCCTAAGGACACTCGTTTCTATAACGCCAAAGAAGGCTTGGGTCTGACCAATCCTCAGAACCTGAAAAAGGTCAACTGTAGACAACACTATGATGTTAGATACATGAAAATAGGATTGACCAAACTCATGGCCTTCACTGGTGCTGAAGAAACGAATGCCCTTGAGGATGAAAAGAGAAAGACAAAGGCTGGTGTTGAGGTTCCTTTTGACTACACAGAGTTAAACAAGAGCTACAAAACCAAAGCACTCCCTTTGACCCCAGCTGAAGAAATCTTGACCTATCCTCCTGAAAAGGAAGCTGAGAAAGACGGAGAGGAGGCTTCCACATCTGAACCAATTGAGAAACCAGCTTACATTCCACCGTTGGTGAGAAAGTTTGCTGAGTTAAAAGATTCTTTTGAAAAGGAAAAGCAGGTTTTAGAAAAAGAAAAGGATGAACTTTTAAAAGAAATAACCTCTTTGAAAACCGCCTCTCAGTCTAGCACAGCTTCTCAACCCTCTTCCCCTTCTTGTTCTGAAAACACTTCTGAAAATTCAAGCGATAGTTTTAAGACTTCTTCTTCTCACCCCAAGTCTCATTCTCCGACAGGGAATGATGTGAAGAAGAGAGTCGAGAAGAAAGGAGAGTGGATTGAAGACAAAATAAGAAGGAAGAAGAGAGAAGAAGAGTCGAGATTAAGAAATAAGTGTCAGCGGTCGAGCGCCATATTTTATGTTAAGAATAAGTCTAGTTCTAGCATTAGTGAGCCGTCTACTAGTTATGCTAAGAGAGTGGCTCCTAAGTCTTCTAGTTCTAAGATTTCTGTCTCGAATCGTTGTACTAAATGTGTTTCTCTGGATTGTGTTAAATTAATGAAATGTTGTTGTTATAAGTCTGTTTCTTCTTGCAAAGCAAATGATCCTGTGATTGTTAAGAATGTTGTGAACAAGCCTAAGATTGATAGGGTGAATGTTGAGAGTGAGGTCAAATTGCCATTTTTAAGGTATCCTCTCAAGATTCACTCAGTCAAACATCTGAGAAGGCTATCACGTGAACCAATTTTGAAAGATCACTTATCTGAACAATCACTTAGGACAAATGAAAGTTCCCTCGCTCCAAAAATCATTCAAATAAAACAAAAATGGGTTCCTAAGGCTGAAGCAGAACGATTAAAAATGAAAAACTCTTCTCAACCAGCCAGCCTAGGATCCCAAATCAAAAAGAAGTTGAAACATTTGCTCACTGTTGATAAGGAAGGACCCATCTGGCGATGGGTACCTAAGCGAAACTAATCTGTTTTGCAGGTCAGTCATGTGTGGCATCTTGATTCGGGTTGCTCGTCACACATGACTGGACAGATTGAACTACTGAGCAACTATTCTGAAAGGTTTAGAGGAAATGTGAGGTTTGGGAACAATGCTTCATCGCCCATACTCGGGATAGGAGATGTCATTTGTGAGAGCGTCACTATCAGAAATGTGTCGTATGTGCAGGGACTGAAGCACAACTTGCTTAGCATCGGCCAATTTTGTGATAATGGAATGGAAGTGAGATTCCATGCTAGGCAATGTTGTGTGATGGATATGGGTGGGACACCATTATTAAGGTGTCAGAGGAAAACCAATCTCTACACCATTGATCTGAAATCGGTACGATCCCCCATATCCATCTGTCTCCTGTCCAAAGCATCTGAAGAACAAAGTAATCTATGGCACAGACGTCTCTCACACTTGAATCTGCCAGCCATCAGTTCCCTCTCCTCGAAGAAGTTGGTGAAAGGACTGCCTGTTCTGAAGAACTCCCCCAACCATCATTGTTCTGCATGTCATTTGGGAAAGATGAGGAGAGCATCACACAAGTCAAAACAATTTCCCTCCTCGTCTCGTCCCCTGGAGCTACTACATATGGATCTGTGTGGTCCGATGCGTGTGCATAGCATCAGTGGACGCAAATATACTTTGGTAATTGTGGATGACTACTCACGCTACACATGGACCAAGTTTTTGCGCTCCAAGGACGAAACTGCAAACTTAATCATGACGTTCATCAGGACCATACAGAACTATCTACAGCAGAATGTGAAGATCATCAGAACTGACAACGGGACGGAGTTCAAGAACAAGGAACTGACCGAATTCTATGAAGCTCAGGGAATTACTCAACAGTTCTCTGCAGCTAAGACACCACAGCAGAACGGCGTTGTAGAACGACGGAACAGAACCTTGGTGGAAGCAGCCAGAACCATGCTGATACAGTCAAAGCTTCCTCACTTCATGTGGGCGGAAGCTATCAACACGGCTTGCTTCACACAGAACAGGACAGTGATCCACAAAAGATTTGACAAGACGCCCTATGAGATTGTGTTCAAGCGGATCCCTAACATTGCCTTCTTCCGCGTCTTCGGCTGTAAATGCTACATTATGAACGACAGGGATGCTAGGGGGAAGCTTGATCCAAAAGCAAACGAAGGGATATTCATTGGGTATTCTACCAACTCCAAGGCGTACAGAGTATACTTGAAGGACAGAAGAACCGTCATGGAAAGCATCAATGTGAGCTTCTATGAAATGGCGGACTTGGCTTCTGAACATTTTCAGTCTGAACCATCAACCTCTGCAAACAATGAAACTCCATCATCCTCTGGAGTAGGAGGGCAGGGAGGTGAGACAAGATCGGATGAGCATGTGGTTCTGGATTCTCTTTTTGAGCACTTCTACAGCCAACCACGTGCAGCACCCACTATAAATGCTACAACCACTCAGAACCCCCTATTACCTGCTCCAACCACTGAAGAAACCAACACTCCTACTCAGAATGATGATGAGCATACAGATAATGAAGCTGAACATGAACAAAACACTTCCGTTAATGATCAACCTGAAGAAGCTGCCACGCAAGAAACCCCAGAAGCACAACCAGAGCAAGAATATTCTGACCCTGATCATCCAATCATAACTCCACAACCTCTACAGCACGAGAGAAAGTGGACTAGAGCACATCCGCCAGAGCTGATAATTGGAGATCCATCTCAAGGAGTCAGAACCAGAACGGCATCAGTCAATGAATGCTTATACTCATGTTTTCTGAGTCAGAAAGAACCAACAAAGATGACCGACGCATTGGCTGATCCGGACTGGGTGATTGCGATGCAAGAAGAAATGAACCAGTTTGAAAGATTGAAAGTGTGGACCCTGGTGCCAAGGCCGTACAAGAAAACCATTATCGGCACCAAATGGGTATTCAAAAACAAGAAGGAATCGACTACGATGAAACCTTTGCACCAGTGGCAAGGATTGAGGCCATCAGACTATTTCTAGCTTATGCTGCACACAAGAGTTTCACAGTGTATCAAATGGATGTAAAGACAGCATTTCTGAATGGAGATTTGAAAGAAGAAGTCTACGTTGCACAACCTGACGGCTTTGTTGATCCTGAACGCCCCAATCGTGTATATAAGCTGAGGAAAGCCCTGTATGGTTTGAAACAGGCACCGAGAGCCTGGTACGAAGCTCTATCAGATTTTCTTGTGGAATCAGGCTTCTCGAAGGGAAAGATAGACCCAACTCTCTTCATCAAAAGACACAAGGGTGACATCATGCTGATACAAATTTATGTTGACGACATCATTTTTGCCTCGTCGAATCCAAATTTCTGTAGAAAGTTCAGCAATCTGATGCGCACCAAGTTCGAAATGAGTATGATGGGAGAATTGAACTTCTTTCTAGGGCTTCAGATCAAGCAAATGCCAGACGGAATATTCATAAATCAGTCCAAGTACATCCATGATATGCTAAAGCGCTTCAAAATGGACAGCAAGTCGACGATGAAAACCCCCATGTCTCCCTCACAGAAGCTCAACTCTGACCCTTCCGGGAAACCAGTCGATGCTACCAATTATCGGGCTATCATCGGTTCCTTGCTGTACCTTACATCTAGCAGACCAGATATTGTCTTTGCAACCTGTCTATGCGCTCGTTTTCAAGCAAATCCGAAGGAATCACATCTGAATGCTGTTAAAAGAATACTGCGATATCTCAAAGGAACAGTCAATCTGGGCCTTTGGTATCCTAAGGAATCAGGCTTTGACCTTGTTGGATACTCAGATGCTGATTTCGCGGGTTGCAAACTGGACAGAAAGAGTACATCTGGCGGTGCTCAATTTCTTGGTGATAAGTTGGTGTGCTGGTCCTCTAAAAAGCAGAATTGTGTGTCTACTTCTACAGCTGAGGCAGAATATGTCGCGGCTGCTAGCTGTTGCTCACAGATATTATGGATGAGGACCCAGCTGAAAGACTATGGGTTCACATTCTCACACATCCCGATCTACAGTGACTCTCAAAGTGCAATAGCCATCACGTGCAATCCGGTCCATCATTCAAGGACAAAGCATATTGATCTCAGATATCATTTCATAAAGGATCACGTTGAGAAAGGCACCGTGGACATGTACTTTGTGTCTACGGAATTGCAACTGGCTGATATCTTCACAAAGGCCCTGGATGAAAAGAGATTCAATTTCCTGATCTCTAAGTTGGGGATGCTGAACCTAAACGACTGAGTAACATCTGAACTGTGTGTGTGCGTGTGCTTTCATGTTTTGCATTTTAGTTTTTTTTTTTGCATCACATTTCTTTTCTCTCTCTCTCTCATGCATCATTTTTTTCTTATGCATCACATGTTTTTCTTTTTATTATTCTGTTTGCATCATTTTTTTATTTGCATAAATTGAGGGGGAGCTTTTCAAAATCTGTTCATCTGTTGAGGGGGAGTATTTCTAAATTGTATAAAATTTGAGGAGGAGTTTGCTAAAATTTTCATTCTTGAAGAGAAGCAAGTGTTGAGGGGGAGTATTTTTAAATTGAAATCTGACTGATTTGAGCCCGTTACACTTTTGAAAATTCTCCCGGGCCTATTTAAACTTTTGAAACGCGCAACCCTTCCTCATTCTTCACTCTTGCGCGAAACTCTCCAACTCCCAGAGCTCCGAATCTCTCAACTCCCTCTCTCGTTTTCGCTCATCGGTAAAAATCTTCTCATGTTCTTCGATTATTCTCTTCGTTTCTCTTCGATAATGGCGATAAACAGGTACACGGTTTAGACAAAGATGATGAATAGGTGCTCTTGCGCGATTTTGAGGCTCTTGCGCGATTTTCAATGCCTGCGCGATCTATACAGATTGCTCGATCTACGGCCCTTGCGAGATTTGCTTGGGGTGCGCGATCTGAGAAGGATTTGCGCGATCTACTTGGAGCTGAGCGATTTTAATACATGCGCGATTAGGCCCTTACGAGATCTTCATCTTGCGCGATTCGCCTACGCTGCGCGATCCTCCATGGCCTGCGCGATTACAGGCCTGCGCGACTCTAACCCTTGCGCTATCCGACCCCTTGCGCGATCTCACTAGAGATGCGCGATTTGGCATGCCTTGCGCAATTTGTGAGGCTGCGCGATCCATAAAGCTAGCGCGATCCATATGGGTTGCGCTATATCCCATAACGCAATCAAGTGAGACCAAGCAGGCCCAAGTCAGCCCAAGATTCAAACCCTTTGCGGAGATTCATTATTTGGGCCAAAACAAAGTCTAGACCCAAATCAGACCAAGTGCAATATCCATTCTTAAATTGGGCCCCACTTTTCATTAAAAAAAAAACAAACAATAAAGGGCCCAAGTGACAAGAAGTTGTGGACTTAGCAATTTTCGATCAAATGCTCTAATCTCTTTATCATTTTCAGACTGAAATGGCTGCCAACACTCCAATCAACATGATCTACTCTAGGGAACAATGGATTCCGATCAAGGAGAACAACTCACAATTGGACCCTGAAGTGTTCTCTTGCCAAGACAATGTGGTCGTCTCCATTTTGAAAGGCCATAAGCTGTGGAAGGCCCTGAGCGAAAACGCTGAAGTCCCTCAGGTGTATCTCCAACAATTCTGGGGTACACTTGACAAGGATGTTGACGACAATGGTAGACAAATTGATGACGTGCTAGCTGCCACGATCCATAACACCAGAGTCACAATCACGAAGGAGCTCGTCCAACAAGTGCTACAGATCCCGGAGGAGGAACATTATGATGCGTTGGCCTCAGAAGCGCAAATATTTGAAGACATGATCACTCTAGGCCACGCTGAGCCCCTCCGACTAATGTCCGCAATTAAGACAGCACGATTTCCACGACCATGGAGGACACTTATGGCTACATTGAACAAGTGCTGCACATCTAAGCACAGCGGATTCGACAAATGCAGTGGTTACCTCGTCTACATCTTCCACGGCATCGCCTTCATGAAGAACTACGACTTCACCTCACTAATCTGGGGTGACATTCTGGAGATGAGAAGACGGAAATTCGAAACTGATATGATCAAACACCTACCATACATGAGATGGTTTTCATTGCTGGTGCGACACTTCTGCAGAACCATTCCAACGATTCAAAGACGCAAATCATCTGAGAATGTCAGCACTCCAGCCCAGCCCTCCAATACTTGAAGAGAATGCCAGAGGTACGCACATTGGTACCATTACCTATTCCTGTTCCTCTCCTCCTGTTAGCTGGGCGAAATGATCCACATGTCATACGCTACAGTGAGGAGAATGGTGTCATACTCCCTATGGCTCAGATAAACCCCCCTGAGCCTACCCCGGGGAGTCAGCCGAGAGTAAGTGAGGGTCCTGAGAGTTCAACCCGGCCACAGAGACCAGTGGCAAGCTGGCCCCATGATGATCAGACTATGTCTGCTGAGGGCCACACCCGTGCTGAAGAGACTACCCATGATTCGCCAAGCGTAGCCACAACACAAGACGCTGACGATGAGGGCTCTGGGAGCAAGGCTGAGAACGACAACGATGATGATGATGAGGATGACGACAACGCCAATACAAAGGGGAAGAAAGTCGAGAAAGCCCGCGCTAAGAAAGGACGACTCGTTATCAGGCTTTCTCGGGCTACAACACAAGAGCAGTCTCACCAAATCAAGGACACTCGAGGAAATATCATCAGTGAGACTCGCTCCAAGGTACGTAATGACAACCCCTCCTCATCATCTACTCCTGTGCAAAGAGTGCAAACCGCGAGCAACCTGGCAGAAGAGTTAGCTTTATATGACAGCTGCTCTGACCTTGACACAATAAACCGGGCTAACCCCATAGGTGCAGAAACTGATATTTTCAGTTTCCGAGTAGAAGACGCAGCATCTAGCCCAACTGCGCATGCACAAGCCTCACCTAGCCACTCTGCTGCCTCTCAACAGGTAGTAGTTTCACATATAGGGGATCTTTTACCCACCTTGCTGCCTCCTTACGAAGCAGCTGAGGATTTACTTTGTGGTCTTCCGCCCCAGACCACTACCCCTCCTTCTAGCACATTGAGTCTAGTTTCCACCATCCCAACATTTTCCATTTTTTCTAGGACACATACACTGCTCACACCACTGCACACGACAGGTGCACTTTACTTGTCCTCACCGATCGGAGATACGTCGATGATGATCGGAAGTCCTGCTACTCAACAGATATCTCCATCATTATCTGCAGGCCACACTTCGGTAATCTTTACTGATGTTGTGACAACGGTTACTACCCCTGTAACCGGTAACCCTGACCCTACCGACCTTTCCGTCATTCTGCAACGTTTCTTGGATTCAACCATTAAACCATGGGTGCACGAAGCAATAACCGCTCGGGCACAGGAATTCAGGAACACCCCGGCGTTGCTAAATGACATCATCCAACCCCAACCAACATCCTCACATACCCAAGAAACCCAACCACTTCCTATCATACCTACCCAACAAACCTCTGAACCATCCACAACCCTACCCCACTCACCTACTGCTTCAAGGGGAACCCAGGATACAGAACTAGTGTCCTCCTCTACTTCGACCACACCTTTTCCTGACCCTAAAACTTTACCGTTCGAGGTACTCGAGAACCTTATGCTAGATCAACTACTAGCTACCGAAGAAGGCAACCTAACCCAGAAACAAAAAGACCTTCTTCGGATCCTTAAGCCTGACAGCTCATGCCGTGATAGTGTCCTTGGTCACAAACGTTCGCATGAGGACCCCGATGATTCGGATCCTCATGAGGGGGAGAACAAGAGACAAAGGATACTTGAGCGTGATGCGTCAACAAACCAACCCTCTACGCAATCCAACCAACCTGAATCCTCGAACAATCAGCCCCCACCATCCACTCAACACAAAAGCCAAACAGCCAACTCACCCACATCTAGCCCGGTCGAGCTAGAAACAACACTCCTAGGCTCATCTTTCATAGATGTAGACCAAGGATGGAGTGGAAGTCCTGAGGTTGCTACTTCGAGTACACCTTTCTATTCAGGCCATCAGAAAGAACCTAGTTCTAATCTGATGATAACGGGTAATCCAAGTGATCCCGGTGTTTCACATGACAGGTCGCCTTCGACACAACAACAAGCTCACTCTAAGCCCTCTGGTAATCAAATACAAGATGAACTGGAAGACCTTCTAGTTCATGATCAGTGGCCTCGCGAGTGGACAGAGTGGGATGATCTTAGAGTGGAAGCGGAACAGTACGAAATGTGTCGAAGCTGGCAACTCAGAGAATTCCTCAACAAATATCATGCACAAATGATTGGACTCGATGAAGATGAACTCAAGGAAGGGGAGAATCATAAAGAAAATCCCAAGGCACCAGAACCAGTCAAAGAAAAATGGGAAATTGTTAGAATCAAAGCCCCCTTCCTAGAAGAAATCCGAGAGAAAATCTGGCGACAACCTGAAAAAATCAAGAAGTTCAGTGAATTAAAGATGCGAGGAATCAATCACTTGAAAGGAAAATACCGAGGAGGAAACCTGTATATGCTAGGACACAGATCCACAGGGGAACGAAGACAAGTTCTAAATCATAATCTTGCAACAAGTGGATGTCCTATATCGAAAATCCTGGATATCACAGAAGACTACTTGGAAACGATTAAGTTCCTGATCTTTCGTCTACGACGTACCGATGGCTCGGAGTTCACCTGTCAAGAGAATGACTTCTTCCTACTGCATATGGATGATATTTATCAAATGTTCATGAGATGCAGGGAGCTCCCAGTGCACAAAGACAGACTTGCTAGAGAAGGTTTTGAGGCCATAAAGAGATTCATGACAAGACAAGTTCGGTTCTACGCCTCCCATGATCTCCAGATGACTCTAGAGCACAATTATTCAAAGGCGAATCTTACACGACCGGACTTGGATAGACCTGGGCTTGAAACCTTTACAGCATATTATACATTTGACAAGCCCATCTCAGTCATCTATCTGAATCACAAAGAAGAGAAGCGTCTGATGATTGTTGAAGACATTCAAAAATACTGTGATGGGACCCTGCAAATCATCCGAGAACAGCTCCAGCCAAGGAAAGAAGATCTAGATAAAAGACAGAATGAAGCCTCGAAGGAAGAAATCAAAGAATTGGAAAGAGTCAATAAAATCTTGAAAGCCATCGAGAAACAACTTGACAGAAGAAGGTCACTCAGAAACTACGAGCATGCACTAAATCTCAGAAAGCATTATTTTAAAGCTCAGAAGTGAAGAAAAGAAGAAGCAAGAACATCTGATCACAAAGGGGGAGATTGTTAGAGATATTTTCATTATATTGTGATCAATGTTTCTTAGCTATTTATATTTAGCATCTTAATTAAATAGACTAGCTAGAATAATGAATAGGCCTTTTAAGGCAATGTGTAATAAAAGGTTTTATACCTTTTTAGGTATGGGCCTCCTAGAAAAAGGAGCCCAAATGATTGTAAAACCTACCTTTCCCGTCAGGCTATATATATGCCTTAAGGGAAAGGCTAGGTTAAGCTTTTCAGATATTCTCATTCTCTGTGCCGCAGTGCCTATATCGGTGATAGAAGTTTTACGCTAGTTTCATATCATTCTGTAAACTTCTTCATCATTCAATGGAAAGCTTCATTCCCAGATCTATCTTCCATACATATACATTATAGACTGAAAAATAGGGACCTAACATACTCGATCAATACGCAATTGCACTCGACTTTAGCGGGAACATAAATTTGTTCTAAATAAATGTAGGCAGATTTAACAATAGACAACTCATATATTACATTTAACCTATTCTTCAACATGTACATAACATTTCATAAACTATGGGTTCAATATCATCTTTCGGAGCATATACAATGTCATCCTTTTATGCTTCTGTTTCACTTGTTAATACTCGTGAGTCGTGATGTTCTTCAATTTATTGCAAAACATATAATATAATAATTATAATGCATAAAAACATACATTTACGGATTATATATTTATATTTATATTTATATTTATATTTATATTTATATTTATATTTATATTTATATTTATATTTATATTTATATTTATATTTATATTTATATTTATATTTATATTTATATTTATATTTATATTTATATTTATATTTATATTTATATTTATATTTATATTTATATTTATATTTATATTTATATTTATATTTATATTTATATTTATATTTATATTTATATTTATATTTATATTTATATTTATATTTATATTTATATTTATATTTATATTTATATTTATATTTATATTTATAGTTATATTTATATTTATATTTATATTTATATTTTCTTCTTATATTGGGTGTTAAAACAAAGTTAGAAGTATGAGGACAAACATGAGAAGCCAAGAGTTTCAGACTGAATCGAAGCAAAACTAAGTATATATAGTGAAAATTTGGTGGATGTAAAGTAGTAGTAACAGTGGGATTACCCTTGATGATAAGGAGATACTGATGTGTGATATGTTCCATTATTTGGGCTCCATAATTCAAAAGGATGGTGAATTAGATGTAGATGTATTTCATAGAATCAGAGCATGGTGGATGAAATGGAAGAGTGAATAAGGATTTCCATTTGATCGAAGTATGCCAATTGAATTGAAGGGTAAATTTTATCGAACAACAATTAAGCTTGTAGTAGTGTGTAGCGTAGAGTGTTGGGCGGTGAAACAATGTCACATTCAAAAGATGTGTGTGACAGAGATGCGTATGTTGCGTTGGATGTGTGTACATACCAGAAACGATCGCGTGAAGAATAAAATAATCAAACATAAGGTGAGAGTGTCACCTATAGAAGATAAGATGCAGAAGTTTCAATTGCGGTGATTTGATATTGTGTTAGAAAAACGAGTGATGCACCTCTTATACGAGTTGAGAGTATATGCTTCTTCTTAGTTTGGACAAGAGTACAGTTTTGTAGAAAGCAAAGTGGAGGATGCATATTCGTTTGGACAATTGATCTCCTTTGACTCTTTTTCTTTTATCTTTTTATCTTCTTTATCTTTCTATGTTCTTATGCTATTTTTATCTTTCATCTTTCTTATGTTCTTTTATCATTTTATCGTAAGTGTTTATAATGTTTTCACGTTATATTAGTAGTAGGATGGTGCGTGATGCTTTTAGTTGGGTGCGTGAACCGAAAGGTGAATTTTGTGTCCATAGTTGTTATCAGTTGCTTATGGGGGAGGCTAGCTCGACAGAGGGGGTTGGATGGCCGAGGATGTGGAATTTCCATTTACCTCCTAAAATAAAAATATTTTTTTGGCAATTCATGAACGGGTTACATCCGCCTAACGATAATCTGGGGAAGCGAGGAGTGGGAGTTGATACCGTTAGTAAAGTATGTGAGGAGGAAGAATCGAGCATTCATCTTTTTAGGGGCTTTTTAATTACTAAACATGTTTGGCAGTCCCTGGGAGTGAACTTAACTAGTTACCAATGTTCTATCTCTCAATGGGTGCAAGGTAAAGAATGATGTAGTATTTTTATTACTATGTTACTATGTTGTGGAGCTTATGGAAAGGTCGAAATACAGCGGTATGACAGCGACATAAAGTGGAATATCATATCATACCGTTGTAAACTGCGGGACAACCCTTTTGAAGAGATGGCTTGTTGCCCAGAGTGCTAGCAAGATGACTGAAGACAGTAAAGCTTTAAAGATAAGAGAAAATGGCAACAGCCATCAAGGGGATGCATAAAAATCAACGTCGATGTAGCCTTGGATATGCAGCGGGGTTGGTGTGGGTTAGTAATGGTGGCTAGATGGGATAATAGCAGTTTTTTAGCAGCAAGATGGGAGGCTCATGCAGTTATCTGGGAACCAAAAATGGTTGAGGCGATGGTTTTAGCATGAGTTGCCGTTTGTATGCCAGATTGTAGAGAATTTTTTTAATTCTCCTCCTGAATGTATTGTGAGCCCTTTGGCTAATGACTTAATTGAGTTTCTTCGGGGTTGCTTTCACATTCCTTATGAAAGCAGATTATGTCTACCAAATTCCAACTTAAAATTCAATCGGTAAGTCAATTAAATAAATTACTCCAAATATGTGAAATCACTCCAAAATCTTAATAAATTATTGAAAAATATTTCTCCAAATATTCTATAAGATGAATTTCACCAAAAATTTAAAAAAACTTTGTTTTTGCATCCCAACCCCACACGAAAAGACAAACATGCTCCTTCATTAACAATTTTGTTGGTCTTCAACATATTCTTGATCGAGAGCATTTATTTCTTTTCATAAGAGGTTGGGGGTGCAAAAACAAAGATTTTAAAAAACCGGATGCGAAGTCCAATTTGAACAACAAAACGAGACGCGAACTCAAATTGCCCCATCCCCAAAATTCAATCGGAACGGCGTTCCTTGGAGGCAATTTTGATAGATTCATATCTCATACTCTCTCTGTCCCGCTAACAATGGGACAAGAGGGAGTGACACACAATACAATAATAGAGCCACATAAATTTTATCAAATTTGATATGAGACAATCTTAATGGAACAAATCAAAAGTGTAAAATGAGACAATCTTAACAGGACGGAGGGAGTAATATATACAGAATATACTAGTATAACATTTGAAAAATATGGGCCTCATGTAAGATATGGGACTTGGGCATGTGCCCCATTGTTCCATCCCAGAATCACCCTTGCGAACGACTAAAGATCAAAATCCGCAACGACCATATAGAAATCATAGCTCATGTGCTAGAGTATTATCGTTGAAATTAATTAAGTCACCGTAACGTAAAACGTGTAAGAACACAATTACATAAATTGCCTTAACTCGTTCAAAGTAAAAAGTACGAGAACCAAAAAAGCGAAACACGTGAATATATAATACGAGTACGCAGTATGGAGTATACTATGTACTCCGTACTCCCTCCGTCAAACATTTGTTTGACACATTTGTAAAGAGCACATTTGTCTTTTCAAACATTTTTAAGAGGAACACTGTATGAATACTGTTTGACACTGTTTTGCATTATTTTATTTGTCAAAAAGGGAAATGTACCTTTTATATTGGGACGACCCAAAAAGGAATATGTGGTTTTTATATTAGGATGAACCGAGTATATATTTTGAAAACAGAAGGCGTAGAACAGCTCACAAAACGGCGCCGACTCATTCTCAAGGATTTAAATTTTTGAAATGCAAAAGCAGCACCAATCGAGCGAACAGTACGGAGCCACGTCATCACGACCCCACCTCCAGAGTGTACCCATTTATCGGGTCATTCACGAGTTCCTGCATCCGCCCCAGCAGAAGCTTTCAACGACCCATCTCCCTCCCTCTCTCACATCGTCGGCGGTAGGGTTTCCGACTGTTCATACTCCGCCGTCTGTATCTACAGCGGTCCTTTCGTCTGCTTAATCGAGCTCCCTCTTGCCCCTATTCCTTGATATCCGGTAATTATTGCTATGAGGAACTGCTTTTCGAAGCTTTGATTGTCGATTTGCTGTCTTGATTTGAGTAGGTGGACTTGAGTTGTATGCGTTCTGGGTAGTGGATCTTTTCTTTTCTTATCATGAACTGTACAAAGCTTGGATTTCGAGTTGATCCGATTGAGCTTTTTTAGGTTTTGTTCTTTAGATTTCTGAAGTGGAAGAGGATGGAGTTTGGGTGCTGGATGAGACTGAGTCTGTGTGGTGATGTGGGAGTAGATCTGTTCTTACTGGAATACCCATTTTTATAGTTCGGATAAAAGTTAGGTTTTTGTTAGCTCCATGTCTTGATTCGTCTAGTTGAACTGAAATTCTGAATTTGAGCTTCTTGTTGGTTTTTCCGCACACAATTTGAAGTTTTAAATTTAAGCTACATATCTAGGTTTTGTTTATTTGATTGAAGCCCACTGGTAACAATGGTATTGGGGTTATATAAATTTATGCACTGCTTTGTTTCAACCTAGTGAAGGGGAGCCTTGACGCACAGTGTCTCTATGTGTCCGTGAGGTCACGTGTTCAAGTGTTGGGAACGGCCTCTTGTTAAAAATTTGACAGAGGAAGGCGTGTCCCTTATACCCACTTGTGGTGGGAGCCTTCCTCAGTCCCTCGCCTTGCCGTGATGCCTTCGTCCACCAACCTGCCCTTTTTGTTTCACCCTAGTGATAGTATACTCTTTTAGAGTTCCTCATGATATCATTTAGGCCGTTGTTTGTTGTATATCTTAATCTAGATATGCCTGAGCAGAGAACTAACCATGTTTAGGCAGTTGTTTGTAAAATCTTGTAGATATTTTTAATCTTATCAAGTACACTTGTCCATATGCTAGACTATTCACTCTATGTTTCATCTGCTGCAGTTGTTTGTATATCTTAATCTAGACATGCCTAAGCAGAGAAGAGACAGATCTTTGTCTTCTGATAGGACTAGAGCATTCCCGTACCCATGTAGTTCAAGTCGCTCAAAGCATTCATTGCCATTTGATAATCTGGAAAATGATAAACACTCAATAGAATGGGAAGAAGCAAGATGCCCTGTTTGCATGGAACACCCACACAATGCCATTCTCCTTTTGTGTTCATCTCATGAAAAAGGTTGCCGTCCTTATATGTGTGACACCAGCTACCGACATTCCAATTGTTTTGATCAGTTCAAGAAGTCGTTCAGTGAGGCCAC